TGAGTACTTTTATAGTTAATAATAAGTTGTTTATTATCTGGACAGGAGATGGCTCCACCTTACCATGATCAAGAGGCACCAGTATTTCTAACAGTTGATGGAAGTGGTCAGCATATTTTCCAAAGATGTACTTAAACCTGACTTCTTAATTTGAGTTAGGATTTGTTGGGAAATGCTTTTAAGTTGGAAAAAGTGAGATCTTAATCTGAATGTGGAAGTACATAAATGGAGCGATGATTCTGATCTGATGTGTGTTCTCTTCCCTGAAAACTGTATCCTGGCTGAGCATTGCATGTAAGAGGTTGTGTACTTAAAGCCATAGAAGTGTATAAATATCCTAATAATCTTTGTACTCTAAAAATCTTGCAGAAGTTACCAAAATAGAAGCAGAGGAGGGAAAAAGGACTTACACTACCACATTTGAAGTTGATAATTGTTGGAAATGTACTTTTTTTTCTCTTCTTTATTGTTTGCTGAAGGTTTTGTTCAATTAAGTAGCTGTGGCATTGCACATATACAGGATATTGGGCAGTACATTCTGAAGGAGAAATTCAGTTTCACACATACTGAGTACTTACAGTAAGGATGAGGAGCTGAGAAACATGGAAGCCATACAGACACTTTGGAAAATAGTACTGCAAACTGTTGATGTTTGGAAATGCAAAATTGTTGTTGTTGGAATGTTTTGGAATGGAAATTCCATGAGTTCTGTAGTACCGTACTTGTCTGTCTTCAGATATGCTGCACGTCAGGTGAAAACAGACGTGATAGGTGAGCTCTGTCACTACTAAATATTACTGAGTAACCAATGTTACCAGTGTTGCATAAGAAAAAAAGCTTCAGAGAACCCACTTATTTCAGTCCAATCCTAGCAATATATTACTAAAAAGAAATAGTCCACGCTAAAATGAAAAATATTCCTGTTTAACGATCAACTAAAAAACCGCAATCTGGATATCTGAGATCCGCAAGCTTTTTCTAGAATTTGTTTTCATGCATCTGCTTGGTATACAGGCATTTTGTAAAGTTTTTGAATACAAAGGGAGACTGACTGTTATCTTTTGCATGACTCAAATGAGGTTTCCATCTTTCTGTCTTTCAGAAAGGTATGTGGAACTCCTCTCTTCATCCCAGTTTGTGTTCTGGAGTTTTTAATGTAGTGTTACAGATTAGACTCATCCCTGACATTTCTTTCTCCCACAGAGTACACTGTAGATCATTATCTCTGCTACAAAATGACAACAGTATGCGTTACGGAGTGAAGTGCTTATAAGGATTAGCAGAGCCTATGTGAGACATCACAAGGAAAATAAACATTTATATGAAGTGTTTGAAGTTTTTTAAATTTTTCCTCTTTAGTCTCAGTTTGGAATCCAGATCTCATTTCTGTGGCTGATGTATACTTAGATGAACAGCAATCCCAGATAGTGTTCTAACTGAAATGTGATATTTGATGAATCTTTCTGTTGTTTATCCAGGCTTATATGCTAATTTCTGATTAAATACCTCTTGCAGTTTTTGGTTTTCCCACAAATTTTCTTCTGACTTACTGACATCTCACTTTGTTTAAATTTACTAAATATATGGAATTGTAGAATATCCCAAGTTGGAAGGAACTCACAATGATCATCAAGTCCAAATCCTGGCTTGACACACAACTACCTAAGAAAACAAACTGTATGTCTGAGAGCATTTTCCAAAAGTTTCTTGAACTCTGTCAGGCTCATTGCTGTGGCCACTGTCCTGAGGAGCCTATTCCAGTGCCTGACCACTGTCTTGGTGAAGAACCTTTCCCTAACTCCCGTCCTGACCCTTCCCTGACAGCTCCATGCAGCTCCCCCAGATCCTGTCTCTGTCACCAGAAAGCAGAGGTCAGTGCTGCCCTTCCCCTCCCCTTGTAAAGAGCTGTTGGCTATGATGAGGTTCCCACTTAGTCTCCTCTAGGCTGAACAAACTAAGGGATCTCAGCTGCTCCTCATACATCTTGCTCTCAAGACCCTCTGCCATCCTTGTAGCTCTCCTTTCAACACCCCATAATAGTTATGTCATTGAATAGTTTGGGTGGGAAGGGGCTCTGAAAATTATCTCATTGCAACCCCCTTGCCACAGGCAGGCACACCTCTTTTCAGGCCCCATATGGTGAACCAGAAGCTGCAGTGACCAAATAAAAGAACCCTAGAAACAGAATATTCAGAAACAGGAGGACATCTTCATTACATCCCCAGTTTACTGGTGTATTTTTTCTGTAAGCTCTTAAGTTTCCGAAATTATTTTGTGCAAGAGAGTTGCTTATACTGGTAAACTAAGGTTGAAGTCTACTTGAAGAATTTTTCAAGACATGAAGACATTGTAGTTCAAATACCATCTTTGGCTACTAGCAGTCCAAGAAAGTAGTAGTAGGTTTTGCCTGGTCCCTGATCGTGACTAATGTTGAAAGAAAATACAGACTTGTTCTCTCTTTAGGTCTGTGTTTTCTGAAGTTTCAGCAAGCTAATTTAAACAAGGCTTTAAAAATTGAAGTTGTAAGAAATTATTGGTATGAGTCAGGACTTTAAAAAGTCAAACAGAAGATGAACTTCAAAAACAAGAAGAGAATTTGAGGTTCCTAACCTTGCAAATCAAATACTAGTTTTCCTGGTTCTTCCTGTTGTAGGCATGCTAGTTCTACAGGTTAGTTCTTCAGTAACTTGTAAGAACTGAAGCAGATTAACCATCTGCAAACATGTCCTTTTAAATGGAACTGCTCTCAGACAGCAGAAGAGTGATGTGTTGCCACTTCTTACTTCTTTCAGAATTTTTTAGAAATGAATTTCTGTATTTCTGGCCGTTGAAGTTTCCTCTGGACCATGCCTTTTGCCCTTGCAGTTAAGTGTCCATCATGTCAGCTTTACGTGTGATCTAGTTTTCAAGTTCTATGTTAGGAACTACATATAGAATCTGTTCTGGAGAATAAGATTGGTCCATTTTCTTCCATTCTTTCAGGTACTCTCAATCAAGCTGTTACTTACTCTATTATTATTTATCTATCAGGACTGTCTCTTTGTTCCCCAGGGTACTCGTTTGCAGAAATAAATCAATGATTGTGGTGTCTTTTAACAAGCAGAAAGTTATTTTCTTGCTTCATTCGAAGGCAGAATGAGATGAAGGCAGAGAACAGAGTTCTCAGAAAATCTGACATTAGTAGTCAAATGAGCTTATGAATTAGTAATTAAAACCTTGCAGTCACTTTTTTCAGTTATTTTTATTCTAGTGTTCAGTATAAAAATAGGTGCTTGTACAAGCTAGCCAAAGATGGAAGGTAATTTTTGCACTTGAGTCTATATTGCGAAATGCTCCTGTTGAAGTTCTCAGGTTTTTTTTTAAGCTGTTGTAGTTCTAAATGCATAACTTGTGATAAGTACCTTCTTCACCTTTCACTTTACTCTTCCAATCAAGCTTAAATAAAGCTCTATTAAAGCTGACTACTACTACTACTACAAAAAAAAACCACAACCATGAAATCCATCTTAACATTTTTTGTTCGTGGACTACTTTTACTAGGCTGGCAAGGCAGTATTTGTTTGTAAAACCATCCTTTTGGAAGCTGTTGATCTGTTGAAGGATGCTAAGGAGGTCGTTACAAAATGATCCAGGTGATAGTTTGTTAATTTTGCATTAAAGCTGATATTTGGAAGGAATAAGACTTTAAGACTAAATCAGTACTTAAAATTTTGAGGATAGTCTTAGAAATATGGAAGTATAGGAGGAGAGTTTGTGCAGGATTTTTTCTTTGATTATGTTAAACATAAGACTTCTGAGAAAGAGTTCAGGCCTTCTGACATATCTTACTGTAGAGTAGGTTTGGTAAGCTCTGTGCTTTTTCTGCTTTTCTCTTTGGTATGCTTCTGACAAACATCTGCATTGAAAATTTTTCCTTTTTTTGTTTGTGTATGTGAGAGAGAGATTATACAAACGAGCATTACATTTATTGTCAAGAACCTTTGTTCTAACATCTGTTAAAGTTTCTTCTCTTAAATGCTTGCAACCAAGATGCAGTCTCACTGATTTTACATTTCCAAAATCAAGAATTTTGATTGTATTTATGCAAACTGAAATGCGCTTATGTTAAAAAAACCCTGTTGCTATCCCAAAAAACTAAGTAAGGAAGTAGCCTGTCTTTTTAACATCTTGTGGCCAATCCAGATTTTAGAACAGATTTCTAGCATAGTCATTGGCATTCTTTAAATGTTGGAAGAATGGACAGTCAAATTCAGACAATCCCATGTTGTTTAAACTGTGCTTGCATATACAGATACTCTGTTCTGTAATGCATTGTGACTGATTTGATTAGTCAGGATATTCGTTAAAATATTGTACACTTCCTGACATTTTTCTAGACAAAACCAGCAGAATAGTTAGAAGTCAATACAAATACTGTTTTAGCTCTTTGAAACAGTATTCTTAAAGTTCTTTGGCATAGTGAATCTCATTGATTTAGGCCTGCTAAGCAGTGTATTCTTGGCATTTTAATTGGAAATTGCATGCTAAAAACAGTATGTATTTATGGAATTCTCAGTCTTCTCAATACTTTGTCATCTCATTACTAAATTTATAGATACTCTATTGTTATTTCATTGTTTTCTGGAAGATGTAGGCTGGAGTTGTGTTGCCTCAGGTTACAACCTTGGTAAAAGCAAATACTATGGTAATCAATAGGAAATTTGAGCTCAGTCTTTTCACTTTTTGATTCCAGCCACAGTTTTTTTAGTTCTAAAACAGTGCAGTGATAACATAATGCTAAATCAATTTACTTAACAGAATAGAAAATCATGTAATATTTTAGCTCTGCAAAAATTATTTTGATAAGTGTTTCTTAGATCATTTCTTGGATAATCATAGTTTCCTGTGCAAGTCAGATATACTGGAGTGGTATTCAGAATCCTAAAATACTGAGTTATAAGAATCTGTGTGTTATGTTTACGATCTGTCTGAACTTAAATTTCTTCAAAATGTACTTCTAGGCAGCAACAGACAGAATAAAGCAATTGGAAGAAAGCATTGAAGAAGAAAGAGCAGCACATTTGAAATCTAAATTCAATTTGGAAATCACCCAGGTAAACTTTTTGTTAAATATTTTGTGGAGCTTTATATCAAACGAGTTCCTGAAGTTATAAAGTTGCAGTCTTCTAGATGCTTCAGTAAGAACACTGGATATTTTTATTTTTTATTTTTATTTTTTCTTGCATTTAAATTTCAAAACTATAATACATAAAGATCAGGAAAATACCTGTTTCCCAGGGAATATTCTTTTCAATTTTTAAAAAATATTAATAATTTATTCAGATTTGTAAGAATAAGAGTGTAACTTCTCCTAGTATTTATATAGTGTAGGAAAAAGAAATATTTAATTAGAGCTAAACACCATGGTACCATATAAATATCCTGTCCTATGTCTTTTGACTAGAAATTTACTAGGACTATTTGGATATGCAGTATATGCATCTGACTTCTATAGGAATGAGTACTGAATAAATGCACACTGAAACTGCTGTTTCAAATATTGTTCAAAGTAGATTTCACCTTCAAACAACATTACAGTATCAGCAACTACCAGTAAAGGTTAATTATATGAGAAAACGTAATATATATACTTGAATATTAAATCTTTGCATTTTTAGTAATGGATATCTATATGACTGAGAAGAGCTGTGAAATACTGGCATTTTAGGAAGCAGTAGGGAAAGATCTCAGATTTGTCCCAGAGGAGCTTGAGACAGCTCTTTGAAGAAGGTAGCAAGGCTGGTAGACCAGCTGAAGTTCCTCAACACCAATGCATGCAGCATGAGCATAAGCTGAAGGAGTTGGAAACCATAGTGCAGTTAGAACAATATGATTACCATCACATTTTCATGATAGCAGTTAATAATTGCACAACTGGAGTAAGACAGTTAAGATCTGCAATCTGTTCAAAAGAGATGAGCAGGGAAGGATGGGTAGGGATGTTGCCTCTGAAAAATAGTCATAATCAGGTTGAAAGCTTGTGAGTAGAAAAAATAAATAAAAAAAAGTCAGGGATCAGACCAATAAACACCTTGTGGTTGCAGTTTACTGCAGGCCGCTGTAAACAAAGTCTGCAACAACCTGTTGAATGTGAATGTGTATAAGGCTATGGAACCTTACAACACCGTGTATTCAATGAATATATGGATGCTATAATTAAGAAATATACAGGAAAGTTAGGCTAAAGAGGTTATCGTGCTAAAGAAGAACAGATGCAAAGCTTACCCTTGTCCTGAGATCAGTGAGAAGACTCTAAGAGGAGCAGTCTCTAAGTGAGATCCTTCCTCAGTGCTAGTCAGTTCTTAAATGGAGTCTAGGAGAGGTGGAGCCAGGCTCCCCCCCTTCCAGTAGCACAGGAGAATTGTCTTCACCTGTGCTCCCAGAGCTGACTCATTGCTCGCCTCAGGTTGTCAGTCAGAGGTTCAGGCTGTGATTCAGCAGTTCCCATATGGACACACATCTCAGTTCCTGAAAGAGCTATCTTACGTGGTTGCAAAGCAAGTCTTCACTATCTTTGAGAAGTCATGGCTGTCAGGTGAAGTCCCCAAAGAGAAGTGGGAAATGAAGACCTTCGTCTACTTCATCATATTCAGTGGAACTGAGAGGGCAGTGTTCCATAAAATTAGAGACTTTTATAAATAAGCAGCTGGTACAGTTTTCTTCTCTTTTTGAATATGTGGGCTTTTCAAGTATGGTTTCCTCATAGCAAAAGTAATAGTTGTAGTCTTTGCAACCATGTATCAAACTTAAACAATAGAATTCCCCTGAAAAACTGCCTAAAACCTAAAAGGTGAAAAAGTCATACACCCCTAAGAACATTATAAGTCATTTTTTTCAACTTACTGTTTATCTCTGAACTAGTTATACATTTCTGCATATATTCAATGCTTTTTCTCAAAATGCAGTAAGACAGATTTAATGGAATATAATTGTCCTTAAAGCAGAAAATGGAACAGCGTTAAATACCATGATACTTTTTTCTAACTTGCTTTCATTGTTTTCTGATCACTTGGTAGATGAGAATTCGAGAACTTGAAGGAGCTTTACAAATGGAAAAAGTCAGCCAGGCAGAAGCTCTTTCAGACTTAGAGATGATCAGGAAGGAATTCAAAGAGGTAGAAAATGCGTATGAGAGAGAAAAACAGAAAGCCCAAGAGAACTTGGAAAAAGTCAATAGGTAAGTTACCTTTTATATCCACTGAAAATTGGCTGTAGGAAGCTGGAATAGCACTAACAGTTCTATAGTTTCCTATCAGTAGAAAACAGTACCATCCTACACTCCTTGTCAAACCTAAAAAAGGCTTCAAACCTGGTGTTCCATTAATAACAAGGCCATACTAGTAAGCATACATGTTAGGGGAAGGTGGAGGTTATTATGTAGGTTATTTGTCTAAGCAAAATACTGAAAATGATAGTTATGATAGGGTCTTGTAGCATTTGGGAGAAGTGTAGAAAAACGTACACAGTGTGTTTAGAAGTATTTTTTTCTTTATACAAATACAATGTTATGATGAGAAGTTTTCATGGAAGTAGGTGGATCTTCAAGATTTCTATCTAGGAATTGTTTATTATTTCTGCTAAATAATCTTCATTTTCTGCTTTTGAATAAACCTGGAAAGTTTTGACTTGGTAAGAATAGGACAGGAAAAGGTGTAAAGTAGACAAAATTAACTGGAATTCCTTTCCCGCTTGGTACATTCTGCTTTGTCTGTGGTAACAGATGGTTCTTGGAAGAATGGCTGTGTTATACTTACCATGCAGATAGAAGGATGCACAGTACTGTGTCTTCTTCCTTGGCTGAATCAAGTATATCTTGGGATAAGAAAACATAAGAAGAATGGTTAAAAGACAGACAGACAGAAAGACAGGTAGCTAAGCAGTAAGTAAAATAAAGGATAGATTTAGAGAAGGAAGAGGTTTGGAAGAACTTAAGTTGATGGATTACCGTGGTGTTTTGGGTAGAGAATTCTGTGGACTTTAGAGCACTGAATTCGGCCTTTCTTATATACGTAGTTTCAGAGATGTTTTTAGTAACATATTTGAAACATCTGCTGTGTTATTAACACAATGGAACTCTTCACCAAAGTTAGGCCAAAAGAAGTCTGAAAGTGAGATTGTGCATTTAGGTAAACAAAAGCCATATTAAAAAAAAAAAAGAAGAAAAAAGAAAAAGAAAAAACCCAAACTTTTTCTTCAAAGAAAAGAAAATAATTTTCATGTAAAAATGGTGAGAATACATGAAATACATTATGATAGTAATCCAGTGTCATTATTCAGGAATATTGCAGTTTAAACAGCTGGGAAGCTGACAGGGTATATTTTGAGATTTTTAATTAACTGTAAGCTTGTCCTGCCTTATTGTTTTGCTCTAAACATGCATTCTATGTTAGCAGTGTATTTGGCATTAAGGTAATACCAAGTTCTTTGCATTTTCTTGAAGTGAAGAAGGCCTGTGCCAGCAATATGACTTTTTAAAAATAAATTTTAAAAATCTACTTCATATTCAAAGCAGCTTTGCTTGAAGTCTGTTGGATCAGGAGCTGTTTTGATCCAACTTCTGACCTGCAATGCATGTGTTCATCATGTATGTAAGTTCTAATTTCTTGTCTTGTGCAGAATTTTTTTCCCCCAGTAGGTTTCCATGTTCAGTTGGTGAAGAAAATACAGAAAATTCATGTTTTTGGAGATGAATTCACAGATAAAATCTTTTCCTTCCCTGCTAATTCCTGGACAGTTTCTTCCTTCCAAAGTCCAGTTCTCGGCCCCTCAGATGAAGGACAGGAAACTGCTTGAGAGAGTCCAGTGCAGTGCTACAAAGATGATTAAAGGAGACGAGGAGAGGCTGAGGAAGCTGGGTCTCTTTAGCTTGTTCACATTAATATTTGTAAATATGGAAAGAGTGAGTGTAGTGAAGGGGATGCCACTCTTCTCAATGACATCCAATGACAGGACAAGGGGCAGTGGGTGCAAGTTGGAACATGGGAGGCTCCACATAATATGAGAAACAGCTTCTTCACAATAAGGATAACAGAACACTGGAGCAGACTGCACAGAGCGACTGTGGGGTGTCCTTCTCTGGAGATATTCAGAACCCACCTGAATGCATTCCTGTGTGGTCTCATCTAGGCGTTCCTGCTCCGGCAAGGGGATTGGACTAGATGATCTTCGCAGGTGCCTTCCAATCCCTGACATTCTGTGGTTCTGTGTGATTCCGAAGCTGACTATTCCAAGGTCCATCCCTGTATTTGAGGCTAGACCAGCTAAATTCAGCATCATCAAATGAAATACGGGGCTTTGAGTTTTCTTAGCTAATGTCTATTAAGCTGAAGTCGTTTTCAGTCTAGAAAATCTTTTCCTGTTTTCAATAGGGCCACATACCATAACTTTCTGTAATCAGTCAAGGAGCCATTAGCCTTCCAGCAATCTTTAGGTACAATTTATTATTCCTCCTAGAAATGTCAGGAATTACTCCCCTATTGTTTCTATCCAAGCTCAAAAACTTGCCTTTGTACTATATGAGCAGCTCATGTCTGCATGAGAAAATACTAACCTCTCTGTGAAAGTTGGTAGTTTTAATAAAGGCTTAAGAAACAGAAACTGCCTATTCTTAGAGTACAGTCTCTCTGAACTCTTAGTCTGTAAAGGTAGGTCAAAATTTACCTCAATTGGACTATCAGTATGCTCAGTTCCTTTTAGATACTTGCATGTAATGGGCATGAATGTCTCTTCAGTCTACCCTGCTTTTTTTATGTGTTGAAGCATACAATTATCAGTTATACTGGTGAGTATCAGTGATTACTTTCACTGGATCCCTTCAGATAGAATAGAAGAACCTTTGATCTACTTACCTTTGAAGGGTGTGGTCCTTGAATTTAAGATGAGGAGCTTTTCATTTTCTTTTAAGCCACGATTTGGCATCCTAACATATTTTTGCTTTGCCTGGAGGGGTCCTCCAGGATTGTCTTTCAGTCTTTGGAAATTGTTGGGGACTTTCATTTATTGTGCTAGAATACTTGTATGTCTTTTTAGCTGGATTTGATGTGGGATAAGTGGAAGCTATACAAAGCTGTGAGAACTGATTTTCTGAGAAAAAGATCAGTGCTGATTCCAAGCATACAGACTTTTCTGGGTTGCATAATTTATTAATTAGCTCTGAACCCAGTAGCACTATGTAAATTGTAAGTAAGAAGAGATCTGGTTCTTCATGTTAATTTACTTTTCTTGAAGAGTGAGGACATGATGTAGAATAAATTGGAACTTCTCTTACTGTGCTTCTGAAAGCTATAAGAATAGGAGTGACATTCGATAACTGAAAGGCAAATTCTTTAGGAATAAAAAGTAAACATCTACATCTAAGAGAAAAAGAATATGTCAGCTGGGCTGGAGCAGAAAGACATAGGCATTAGGAGGAATGATAAAGTATTCCTTCAGCTAAACGGTATGTTTTGTCTTTATATGTGGGTTAAATCTGTAAGACTTATTTAATTCAAAGCCAGGAAGTGACAATATTGATTTAAAAACTGAGAAAAGTTAGAGCCCTTTGGGTTACTAGCAGTTCTAATGAAAGAATAATGAAAAGAGAAAATAAAATGAAGACAGACACTGGATGTTGCCACTGTTAAAAATGATGCCATAGAATAATTTAAGCTGGAAGGTATTGTAGAAGATCTTTAATTCAACATTCTACTTGTGCCAGAGTCAGCTTTGAGATCAGATTACTCAGGGCTTTGTCCAGTAGATCTTCAAGATCCCCAAGAATGATGACTGCACAAGCTTTCTGGGAGCCTCATCTTCTTATTGACTGTCATGGTGGAAGAAAGCTTCTCATAGTCTGAATCTTTCCCGATTCAGTTTGTGACCGTTCTCTCTTGTCCTATACTTTGTTGTGAAGAGGCTGGCTCAGTCTCCTTGGTGACCTAAAGGTACTGCGGGGTCTGTTATTCACCCTTCTCCAAGCTGAACATACCAAGTTTCTTAATGTCATATGGCCTGTACTCCAGCCCCTGACCATTCTGGTGATATTCTCATGAGCTCACTCTAGTTTTGTTGTTATTAGTATTGTACTATAATGTCATGCTAATAATTTATACAATCATAGAATCATTAAGGTTGGAAGAGACCTCTAAGATCATCAGGTCCATCCTTCAACTCATCAGTATCATGTCCGCTAAGCCATGTCCCCACCTCTACACGTTTCTTGAATGTCTAGAGGGATGATCACAGAATCACAGAATCACCTGGGTTGGAAGGGACCTCAAGGATCATGTAGTTCCAACCCCCCTGCCTAGCAGGGCCACCAAACGTACACATTCAGATCAGGTTGCCCAGGACCCCGTCCAACCTGGCCTTGAACACGTCCAAGGACGGGGCATCCACAACCTCCCTGGGCAGCCCGTTCCAGGGCCTAACTACTCTCCTTGTGAAGAACTTCCCCCTAACATCCAACCTAAATCTTCCCTCCTTCAACTTGGATCCATTTCCCCTAGTCCTGCTGTTGTCAGCCCTTCTGAAGAGTTTACTCCCCTCCTGGGTGTAGGTTCCCTTCAGGTATTGATAGGCTGCAATGAGGTCACCCCGCAGCCTTCTCTTCTCCAGGCTGAACAAGCCCAACTCCCTCAGCCTGTCCTCATAGGGGAGGTGCTCCAGACCCTTGATCATCTTAGTCGCCCTCCTCTGGACCCTTTCCAAAATCTCACTGTCTTTCTTGTACTGAGGGCTCCACACCTGGACACAGTACTCCAGATGGGGCCTCACAAGAGCCGAGTAGAGAGGGACCATCACCTCCCTGTCCCTGCTGACCACCCCTCTCCTGATGGAGCCCAGGATCCCATTTGCCTTTCGAGCTGCCAGAGCGCACTGCTGGCTCGTGTTAAGTCTCTCGTCCATAATGATGACTGCACCACTTCCCTGTGCAGCCTGTTTCCATACCTCACCACTGTTTCTGAGAATAATTTTTTTCTAATATGCAACCTGAACCTCCCCTGGCATAATCTGAGACCACTGTCTCTCATCCTCCCACTAGTTGTGTCAGAGAAGGAACCAACCTCATGTTGTTACAACATCCTGTCAAGTAATTGTAGAAAGTGATAATGTCTCACCTGAGCCTCACCTTCTCCAGTTCCCTCAGCTGCTTCTCGTAAGTCTTGTGTTCCAGACCATTTACCACCTTTGTTGCTATTCTTCAGAAACTCTTTGGGCCTCAGTGTTCTTGTAGTGTGGGCCCCAAACTGAACGCTGTACTTAAGGGGCAGCCTCATCAGTACAAGTGCAAGGGGACACAATCACTTCCCTAATCTTGCTGGCTACACTATTTTTGATACAAGCCAGGATACCATTGGCCTCTTTGGCCACTTGAGCATGCTGTTGGCTCATGTTCAGCAGCCGATCAACTAACATCCCCAGATCCTTTTTCTGCATATAGATTGCCAGCTTCTCTGCCTCATGTCTCTAGCATTTTGTAGATTTGTTGTGACCAAAGTGCAGGACCCAGCACTTGGTCTTGTTGGCTGTTATGCAACGTGGCTTCATCCAGTTGTCTGGGAGCTTCCCACCTGACCAAGACTGTTGATAAATAATGGAAAGTGGCTTGGTGAGCATTTCTGCTAGCTTATGTAGGTCCAGTCTGGGTCCATGGATATGTGATAGTGTAGATGGTAACTGTTCTCTCGTGAATTGTAATGTGTTTATTCTGTTCCCCATCTCTGTCTTCAAGCTCAGAGAACTCAGTACCCTATTGACTATTAAAGATAGAAGCAAATATAGCATTGAGTACTCAGCCTTCTCCTTGTCCTTGGTAGTAATGCTCCCCATTGCATCCAATAAAGGATGTATATTCTCCTGGGCTCCTTTAGCTGTTAATGTATTTGTAAAAACAATTCTATTCACTTCAATAATTAACTTCAAAAAAATCTCCCCCCCAAATAAAACTAAAAAACTTGAAACCAAAATCAGCTAGAAAATGAGGGAGTCTGGTGAAGTCAAGAATGGTGATCAGATTAAGTTTTTGCTGGGTTCCTGCCTTACTGATTTTCCCTCTGCAACTTTATGGAACTTCCTTCGCATTCCTCTCCTTTCAAAGGTGGTAATCTCTCTTTTTTTCCCCTGAGTTTCAGCAAAAGCTCTTCTCTGGTCCTCTTCTCTGTTGCTTGTCTTAAGGTACACCAGAGATGGTCTGGTCCTGCACCTTTAAGACTTCTTTCCTGAGAAATGTCCAGCCTTCATGGGCACTTTGTCTTTCAGAACTGTATCCTATGGGACTCTGCCTAATAATGTCCTAAAGACTCCAAGATCCGCCCTCTGGAAGTCTGGAAGATAGCAGTTTTTCTGATGCCCCTCCTGACTTCATCAAGAACTTTATCATTTTGTGGTTACTATGTCAGAGGCAGCTTCAGACCACCGTGTCTCCCATCAGTCCTTCTCTGTAAACAGCAGATCTAGCAGAGCACCTTCCTGGCTGTCCTACCAGATGTGTTAGGAAGCTATCTTCCACACACTTCAGGAACCTCCTAGGTTTTCTCTTTTCTGTGCTATTGTATTTCCAGCAAGTATCTGGCAAGCTGAAGTTTTCTATGAGAACAAGGGCTAATGACTGTGTGATTTCCACTGGCAGCTTGTAGAATGCTTAATTTGCCATTTCATTCTGGTTGGATGGTCTGCAACAAACTCTCTCCAGGATATCAACCTTTTTGGCTTTCCTCTGATCCTTACCCATAGGGCCTTGACTGTATCTTTACCAACATTGACTTTACAACGTCAAAATGTTTCATAACATACAAAATCACCCCGCTGCCTCTTGTTCCTTACTTATCCATTCTGAAGAGCTTATAGCCACTGCAACATTCCGGTCATAAAAGTGATCCCACCATGTTTCAGTTATTTGTGGCTAACTTGCTGTCTACCTGATTCTTTTTGAGTGGAGCTGCTCTCCGGCTGGTCACCAGCTGTATTGCTTCGAAGGGGCTCTTCCTTCCTAAACCCTAGACTTTGCATTTGTCAGTGTTGTATTTCAGAAGCTTCATGCTAGGGTGTACCTCATGTTCTTTGCTTGAGCATATAAATTTTGTTGTGTTGTGACCTCTTTCCATCCAGTTGCACTCTTGTCCTAATCCATGTGATTGATAAAGATGTCAATCAGATTCTAGTATAGAATTCTGTAGTATCCTACAGTAGTTACCCCCAACTACCATCTGAACTTTACTATCTAGCCTTTTTTTTTTTTTTTTTAAATCTGCATGTTAGTCCATGTATCAAGACAGTGAAGTTCTAATTTGCCTGTAACAGTGCTGTGTAACAGTGTCAGAAGCTTTGCTGAAGCTGAATTACACGTTATTCACTGCTTTCCTTTTGTCCACAAATCTTGTTGTTCTGTTACAGGCAACTGTGTGGTTCAGACGTGATTTAATCTTAATAAGTCCTCTGATTTTTTCCCCAGTCATCTGTCTGACTTTCATGAGCCCAGAAGCTTGTTCTAAGAGTAATTGCTCTCTGATCTTCCTGAGACAAGGCTAACTGGTCTGTAATCCAATGGTTTGTTCTTTTGTCCTTCTTTGCTGTAGGTGTGCCAGGGACCTCTCTGATCTCAGTATTTCAGAGATGATAGCAAGAAGCCTTTCTGTGATGGTCTAGCTCTGTCAGCACCTTTGAATGTAGATAAGCCTATCTCTTCTGTTTCTGTGGGTTCTGTCTTCATAAATAATTGCTCACTCAATTCTTGTTTGCATTTAGCCGTTCTCTTTCTTAATGACAGAGGCTTGGGAAACCTTGTTGGTGAAGTCTGAGGCAAAGAAGGCATTGAGCGTGTTGATGAATTACTTGACCTGTACAGAAAACAGGCCTACGTTTGTTTTTCCTACCACAGCATAGTGGTAAAATCTCTTCTTGTTTTGGTCATCCTTTACAAACATCAAATCAAAGTGCGTTTTGGCTTCTCTGACACAATACAGATGCGTCTGGCAATCTTTCTAAATTCCTCCCAGGATTTGACTTGTCACTTCTGTCTCCTGCGAACTGTTTAGTCCTGCAACTTTCATGAGTTGTTTAGCCAACCAGTCTCTATATATGTTAGTTTCCTGGATATCATGAGAGAGAGTTCTGATAGGTTCCTTGAAGCTCCAAGAGTCTGCTGGTGGAAAACTCTAAAGGCATGCCATTGCGAGTAGAATATGGTCAGCTATTAGGAAATATTAGAAGGAAGCTTTGTATTTGAAAACAGAGTTGATTACGTGAAACTTGACATGGTATTTCTGAAGAGAGCTGCTGTGTTAATTAAAATTTAATGAATTCTGTTTATTACATATAATTTGAAGGGCATATTAAAATAACTGAATAAATTTATGACTAGTAAAAGCACCAGTAACTGGAAAACATACCACTTAGTGAAAAAGTTCTTCTTGAAAGGAAAACAACTTTTTTCCATTGAAAAATATAATATGCAACTTCAGAAGTCCTACAGCGTGTAAACATCAGATGTGTCACATCTATTGGTTATGTTTTAAAGTATATAGTATAGCTGTCAAAAGTATTTTTGATTAATAAATGAATAAATGTTTTAATGCTGAAACTTTCCAGATTAGAAAGGGAGTATATCTCCACAAACAAGCAAATGAATGAGAAGATAGAGGAAAAGAAGGAGGTAATTAAAGATCTGTTGGAGAGACTACGGGAGAATGAAAAAATTCACAGAGAACTACAAGATAAACTTGCAATGGTAAGACAGAACACCAGTGATGCTTCTTAGGGCTTTTTTGACGTATTATGTACGTAAGATGCATTTGTGGAAGAACTCAATCATTGCGTTACTCTAGTTATACTTGTTGCTTTTTCTGGTAAAATGTTAATATGTGTAGCTAATACAGAATCTAATTTGGAAATGCACTTCCTGTATTTAATTGAAGAGGTTTTTGGTTTTTTTTTTGTTTTGTTTTTTTGTTTTTTGTTTTCCAGAAAACAACTACTTTGAAAGTGTGCTTATTAGGCAAAGAGTAACTTGTGTTTACATTTTTAGAGAGGGCAACAATTTTTAGAAATGGATTATGATTCATTGCAGAGAATGTTATATCTTTCTAGCATGCCCTTTTCAGTCTACAGTCCTTGTTAGCTGCCACTGTAAGCATATTTATTTCATGCAACATATTGTTTTTTTCTGCAAACATTTGGCTTTAATAAATAACTAGTTTGAATGTGACAATGCAGAGGATATTTAGATGTATTTTACTGAATTGTTTTCTGGAATCTTTGTTTTTTCTCTTTTTTTTTTTTTTTCCCATGACAAACTGGAACCTTCCCTCTGCTCACCTACAATTGAATAATGACTTTCCCGTTCTTTTGCATAGCAGTAGGGATAAAGCAAATATCTTAGGCATTCTGTGTAAAATCTTGAGCTATGTAGAAGCATTTTCAGTATTTCTGTACTTCATAAATATAAACTGTGTTTTAATACTGGACTGCAAATTTCTCGTTTTTTCATCTCCTGGAGCTGAGTTTTGGATACCACCCCTTGGTGGTAGATACTGTTATGCCAGTGAAAAGGAGCAGAGGTCTGCTTCAGAGGATCTGTAGACACGTTGCTATCTCCTGTTCAGATAATATGAAAAGTGAAGATGTTTTAATGGGTGATGTGTTTGCAGTCTGTAAACGAAAACATGGTGAACAAGTACACTTGATAATTGCAATTTCCTGGGCGATGGGTAGCCAAATAAGTGAAAATTGGAAATTAGATAGCATTGAATTGGAAAAGAAGCTTGTAATTGCCTTTTGTGGTAAAAATTGCTGAAGGGTTGTGGATTCTCCATCATGAATGGTGAATCAATATTGTGTGTGATTTCTGTAAAATTCATATACTTTAGTTCAGACAAGAATTAGTCCATGGAGGTCTATAGCCTATGTTTATAAATAAAATCTGATTAAGTACTTAGGATCAACTTATTCTGTCCTCTGGCAGAGTATGATCCCTCTGTGTTCTGTAATACAACAAAGATAAACTAAAAATTGCTCTGATATTTTGTACCCAGGTATTTAGATTTCTTGTATGTCAGTCCTTGCTCTTCTCAGTGTTTTGGTGCATTTGGTCTCCTCATTCAAACTTACACTGGTTGGCCATTTTTACAGTAACTACAAAATTAATGTGTATGAATGGCAAAGCATTCACTTATTCAGTGATTTTACATTTTGCTGTATAGCTAATTACTGGCTTCACATGATACCAAATGGTTCTTCCTTTTTAGTTGGAGTTATCCCATTGTTCTGATACCCAGTTCTTGAACAGTTTCATAACGTATGTTTGAAAACCAAATGAAAAACAAAGCCTTCTTCATTTTGGGAAAATCTCAGCAGCTTCTTTCATACAAGCAGTAATATACTAAGAAACAGTTGCTGGCCTAGAGAAATCATATTGCCTGGCACAAAAGCAATATGAAAATAGAGAAGCAAGTAAATCCCCTAACTACTATCACTAATGACTGGTATGTATTCATATACATAACACGCAAATTCAATATGACATATTTCTACCAGGAACCTTTTGACACTTGCTAGCAACTATTGTGATACAAGCTTTTGTTTTGTGCCATTAGTAATATGATGCTATATCTGACCAAAAAAAAAAAGAGCAAATTCTGTGCCTGGTCTAGGTTTCTGGTAACGACTGAAATGTTTAAATGATGCTTTTGAAATGAACATTACATTATAGAAAGATAAAAAGCAGAATAATATGTCTCAATTAAGCAAGTATCTTGTGCAAAGAACTAGTCGTTTGAGTTGTCACACTGGAATTATTTCAAACCAGAAGTCTATCTTGAGCAGGTAATAAAAATTATCATAATTTTTGTGGAGTTGTATTTGAGATACCCTATGGAGCTAGGTTTTTATCATCTTGGATGACTTTGTATTTTTCCTGAGACTAGGTATTTTTTTGGGAAGCAGGAGTGGCTGTGTGTGGTTGTGTTTATTCAGTCTGGGCAGCTTTTTGTTTTTTAATTATTTTTAAAAATTTTTGTATTTTTCCCAAAATAAAAAAGCAGAACACTCTGGTAAAAGGTAAGTATATATAGCTTGTCAAGTAGTGTTATCGGACACATACTGAAGTTGTGTGAAAATGCCAGTCTGTTCTCTTTCTTCATTTTCCTTTCTGCTTCCTTGGTCTATTTATTACTTTCCTGTATTTTATACTACTGTTAGACAACCTGAATATGGACATTCCACTTCAGCTCGTAATCTTATATTGGTTTCTAACTGTACTGCCGTAATGCAAGTTAATATTTTTGTTTGTAAAATGTCTTGGGAAATATAACCAATTAGTGAAAGCTGTTTGTTTTTGGAGAAGTTGCACGTGAATCAAATACATAATTTGGAAACTTTTTATTTCAAAAAAGAACTTTCTTTTAATGACTCAATTGAATGTACAGTAAAGTAGTTACACTGCTTTTAATTTTAGATATCAGCATGTGATAGAAGTTTACCAGATATTTGCATGGATTAAATGTGGTAGAATCTGCTGGTATCAAACAAAACTGCTTATGAATGTTCAGCATGAGGAAGCTCTCAAGATTTCCATTGTGTTCTTACTGAGGAAATTGGCCTCAAGCTTGTCATTATTTCCAGCTTGGGCTTTCAGAAATTTTAGCTTGAGGAACAGGAATTTGGAAGAATGGGCATTGTGATTCAGAGCTGGTTTTAAATTGAAACAGTCCCAGCTGTAATCCTGCGCCATTGAAAGAATAAGTGGTGTCTTGAATAGGTTTTAATTTTACTTGAGGTATTTACATTTCTGGCACCTAGTAGTGGATGAATATTAATACTTTTTACCAGACAAGAGGGAGATGTTGAACCATTATTTTATGTGAAATGTATATTGAAATTTGAGGAACTTGGCAATTCACAGGAGTGCATATTGGGAATTTGCAGTCATGAAGAATAGTGTTTTTTTCAGGTAAACTTCCTTAATCTGGACGTATTGTGTATTCGTTTACTCCCCTTTGTATAGATACTGTCAGGAGTAGAATAATTATATAATTAGTGTATAAGTAAGGTAATAGATTACGTACAGAGGTTTTTTTGCCTTGCAGCATATAAATCTTTCAGTTGTGTGCAATCATGTGATGTATATATTTAGGCCATCTGTAATAGTCTTGTAAGCTATTATGAGCTGAAAGTCAGGGCAGGATTGTTAGAGAATCTATTTCATATACATAGGCAGTAGCAATTATTCTTTGATAGTAGCTTTCTATGTATTGATTGAATAGAGCAAAAATTTGTACTACAAATTCTATGGAGTAGACTCTGCTACTCAAAGGCAGAGGTGGAATTTCATCTAGATAATTTACTGTGAATAGAGTTTTTTGTTGCAAGTTTAAAAAAACCAGAAAACAAAAAGCTCAAAACAAAACCTAAAACCCAAAGAGTGTTGTGATTTTTTAATGGTATATTGCCTTATTTTTACTGTTGCGTTACCTTGTTTTATATTCTTGTTTTGCTTGCTGGAACTCAGGGCAAGAGTGTTCCTACTTCTGTTGTCCTTATTTAAATAAATGTTTAATAAATCATATTGATGTCCCAGTGTTTGAAGATAGATGCCTAAGGAGTACTTCTAAAGTTGTTAATTCTTGAGAAATTTTCTCTGATTTAAACAACCAGAAAATTGTCTCCAACCAAAACTTGTTGCAGAGTTCTTTGTAGGAAACTAAAACAATTTAAGTTTAAAATTTGAACATTTTTGGTTATTTTTATTTCAAGTTATTAAATCTGAGACACTGTATTTCTTGAAAAACTGGATTTAATTTACTAGGCACATCTTAAAGGCTCCTCTATAGACTTTCAAAAACTCTAGCTAACATAAGAAAACAAAGGAAATTGATGAAGTATTTTATAGCTAGATAACTTGATGAAAAATTAGCAAAAAAGAGGAAGATAGATATTGGGGGTTATTTTAATACTGTAGGTCATGCCTGATTACTTAACTATGCTGCAATACGGAGTATCACTTGAGTAAAACTAAGTTTTGTTAAGAGTTTTTGGAACAGTCTTTTGGAGCTATTTCTGTCATTGCCTTCCTTTGGCTCCCTTAGGGTCATGCTTGGTAAATGTTCTGATGCTTTTGTAAAGCTTGGAGAAGAGGAAGCTCAGGGGAGACCAGATTGCTTTATAGAGTGACCTGAAAGAAGGTTGTAGCAAGGTGGGAGTCAGCCTTTCTTCCCAGATAAGTAGCAATAGGAGGAAAGGTAATGGCTTCAAGTGGCTCCAGGGGATGCTCGGGTTGGATATTAGGAAAAATTTCTTCTCAGAAACAGTGGTGGAGTATCAAAACAGACTGATCAGAGAAGCTGTGGAGTGACCACCCATGGAGATTTTAAAGAAAAGGCGAGATGTGGCACTGAGTGGTATCTCTTAGCAGGCATGGATTGATGGAGGGACTAGATGATCTTAGAAATTTTTTCCAACCTCTGTGATTCTATGATTTACCTAACGTCTTTTCAAGGAGTAGCTGGACGTGTGCTGCTGCTCGGTGGCTGTGTGAATGTGTCTGGCTTTTGACACATGCTCCAGTGTAAACAGATGAGACCTGGACAGCACACTAAGGGGCTGAATTAGTCTATGTGCAGTAGGATCGCACAGGAAATCCCTGTAACTAACTGCAAATAAGGCAGACAGTACTCCTGAGAATATCACTCTTGGAATAATGTCCAGAGACTGCATGACAGGATCCTACTCTGC